TGAGGCAGGAGGATCTCTAGTTTGAGGCCAATATGAGCAACTCAGTGAGACTCTGTCTCAGGGAGGAGGCTAGGGGTAGAACTTGTAGCAGGCCTGGGTGGGGTCCCAAGGACCATAAAAAGGAACAAACATCTATGCTGGCCTGGTCCCTCCCACCGGTGCGAGTCATTCGGTCCTCCTATCTATGGATTTGGGGACAGACGCTGAGTCTCCTCTTCCTTGGCCCCCTCCTGCCCAATGTCAAAGCAAGGAGACCAGGCTTTGTTGTGGACACCGTTGGGGGAGGGGGACAGTAGTAATAGAGATGGAACCCTGGGGCACTCAGTTTACTTGGGGCAATTTATTTTTTTATTTTGAGACGGTCTTGCTAAGCCTTGAGTGAGATTCGGACTTGTGCCTCAGCCTCCCGGAGTGCACTGCGCCAGGCCTTAGGCTGCGGACATCCTGGCCCCACGAGGCAACCAGGGAAGCCTGCAACAGGGCCGGAGGCCAATGTTCCTGCTGCTCCCCAAAGCCAAACGAAGTCCTCGCCGGCTACACTCCCAGGCTCCCCTGCCTTCCCTCTCAGGCAGCTCAGAAGGTGCAAGCCCAGCCCCCCAGGCACTGAGTGCTACCCCTGCTGTGTACCCCTGCTGTGCAGGGGCGCCATTTGTGGCAGACACAAGGCAGGACTGACATATGTGCTCAGAAGACAGATTTTCGTGAATCTCACCCAGGCCCCGGCCTCCACTTGCCTCATCTCCTACCCCTGAGCTTCCCCTTTGTCCCTGAAAGCTCACCAAGGCCAGCGGTTACCTCTTCCAGGAAGCCTCCGGGGCTGCCTCCCTCCCTGCCAAGCCCCAGCCCAATCTCCCCTTCCTCTGCACCACTTCCCACAGCTGTGCGTGAGCAGCTAGGGTGCACAGGTCTATCTCTGTGCCCCTCACCCCTTGCCTGGGACACTGGCATGGCCGAGCTGTCCTGCACTGCGCCAGCCGTGACCCACTCACAAGAACACCGCTAGGGACCAAGGGAAGAGCTATGTGTCACCCCCCCCCCGCCCCCGTGGTGATGTGAGGGCGGAGCCACACAACTAGCCAATGGCAGAGCCAGGGCTGGAACCCATCCCAGAACCCCGCCCCCATCGAGACAGAAAACAGCGATTCTGTGGATAAGCTCAACCACGACCTCAGGTCAGATCACATAGCGCATGCGCACCCGCGCCACCAGGTAGGTCAGCGCACTTGTGGCATGCACTCCTAGCCACCGGGCAGCTCTAGAGGGCAGCTGAAAACCCTGCCTCGAGGGAACCACCGATGCTTCCCTAGGCTCTGCCTACTGATGCTCTCGGCTCTGGTCCGTGTCCCCGCCCTGTCACCTGTAGAATGTGAGCATGGGCAGACATGTGGCTGGCAGAGGACGCACGTGACATCCAGCTCTGACCCCAAGGCCCAGTCCCACGCGGCCCCCTTCCCTCCCTGGGTCTTCCCCTCTGCAAGCCATGGTCACTCACGCCACGGCCACCAGAAAGGACTTCTGGTCCCCATGATGGCATGCAGCTCACACTGTGCTTTCCATCCCAGAGGCTCTCAACGAAATGACAGGGCATCCTGTGTTTAGCACTTGCACCCTGCATACAGGCTGGACCTCCTTCTCTCACCCTGGGCATAAGCTCCCAATCCCAGGCCTGTTCTTCTGTCAGCCCACAGCAGGAAATCCAAAAGAACCTGGCTGTCCTGCACCAGCCTTCCTCCTTCAAATTGAAAAGAAAAAAAAAAAAAAAAAAAAAAAAACTAAGATAAGGATGGCTTAGCAGTGACTCACACCTTAGTATGAGTTTCTTTAACCAGCACTTCATGCTTAACTCCCCCAAACTAACCTGAAATTGAAGGAATGGGGAAGAGAAAATGACAGGCTTGGGGGAATAGCAGCCTAGAACCTCAGTCAGACAAGAAGCCCCACACCCCGATTAGAGCACTAGGCTTTTGATTCTGCCACCTCCCACAGATAACCCTGGGCCTGAGGTCCTCCCACCTTGTAACAGCTCTGTGTCCTGCTCCCCGGACTCCATGTGACCTCGGTGGAGCTGCCGGTGCCCTGAGCTGCTGTTTTATTTGTGTGTCCCGTGGGCATCTCCTACCAAGGTGGAGATGGAGTAAGAATGTCTGGTCAGCTTTTCAGTGGAGAGGTGACACACGATACCCTCCCTTCCTGCTGCCCTGCCCTGCCCTGCCACCAATGTGTCCTCACCTGCTGGCACCTGTAAGCAAGCCCCCAAGCTCCCACCATCCCTCCAGGTGGCCATGACAGCAGGACAGGGACAGTGGAGCAGATTCTTGGGGTTGGGTAAAAATAGAAAGCTCTGGGCCAGGCATGGGGATGGTTGCAAGTTAGATAAACAAGCACTGCTTCAGTCCCAAGGCCCTGTACACCTCGATACAGCAGAACGTCTGTCCCCTGACACTAGAAGGACCCGGCTCTTGGGACTGCAGCCTCCGGCAGCTGGCTGGTGCACCTGCATAGTCCTGGGATTTTCCCAAAGGGAGTCTGGTAAGTGAGGTGTCCTGACCTCTTGAAAACCAAATCCTCTCCCTGCAGACCAAGTGAGAACAGGCTGCCCCACGCTCCACTCTGCCCATGGTCTCCCGCAGGGTCTGGGATGCGGAAGGCTGGGGAGCCACAGGCCAGGCTCATGCCCTGGTCCTGCCTTGGACAATCTTGGACTCTGAGCTGCTGGCCTGTCTCTGTAGCCATCCCGTGGGGAGGGTCCCAGCTGTCTCGGAGGCTGCAGTCAGAATGCCAGGTGTCAGAGACAGGGAATGTCAACAGTCTCAGTACTGTATGTGTCGCTTACTGTCATTGCTGGCACTTCCACTGCTGCTATCAGTCCTTGAACATCAACTGTCCCAGCCTGACTTCCCCCCTCCTGTCCTCGTCACCCTCCTGCCACCATGTGGTCCATCTTTGCAGAAGGGACTGTGCCTTCACCTGTCCCGCTCTGGGGACATGACAGCCAACATGGCCCACAATCTGGGAACTCAGGAGGGGACACACATTTTGCAGGGAAGGGGTCTAGGTGACCACCAAGGTGGACAGTCCACTCACCTCCCAAGGCCACTTGGACCTCAGAGCAAAATTCATCAAGATCTCATGCATCCTGCCCAGGAAATCTCAAGTTTTCTCCCCAAATCTTCTAGACCCTTAGAATTCCAAGCCACCGAGTGCAAAATATTTTAGATGAAGGCCACACAATCAGAAACAGCAGTGACTTTAATCCCACGGGAGGCTGAGGCAGGAGGATCACTATGAGTTCGAGATCAGATAGGGCTACAAAATAAATTCAGGTCAACTTGATGTACAGAGCGAGACCCTGTCTAAAGTAAAATGAAACAAAACCAACAGTGACTACCTCACTGCCCAGTATTAAAGAGTCTGCTTTTTTCTAGGGAGCAGAAATTCCAAACACAGCCTGACTGCACCCCCAAAGCACCCCAATCTAATAATCTAGGTGGGTGGGGGTGGTGTCCGCTGCAGGCCTCCTAACCTCTAGGGGGCGCTGTCTCTGGGAACAGATTGGAGGCAGGGCCTCGGGCAGGTGCTCTAGGGTCTGCCCCTGCTGGCCGTCCACGCACAGCTCCAGGACACGGGTTGTAAGCGACTGTGTGTGGAAACACCCGGGGAAACACGTAAGTCACCACCACCAACAGGGGCCATCAGAAGATCATCACTGCGATGCGTTCAGTCTCAATGAGGCAGTCTCGGGTTGCCACAGATACCTTCTAGCGCCTTGCTCCACACTGCGAGGCTCCCACCCGCGCAGGCGCAGAGGAGAAATCAGGGTTTGCCCTGTTAACCTCCCCCAGCTTCCTTGGGCTGGGGATCTGAGGGAAGCAGATAAAAACCAAGCTGGACCCAGAGGCAGTGACCAGAACGCAGCAGCCCATGCGAGGGGCCAGCAGAAACCAGGGTGCAGACAGGGAGAGAGGACCGAGGGGACCCGGCCTCTGCACAGGTGTGGTCGGAGCAGGCCAGTCCTGTCCCGCTCGGTGTCCCCAGCCCGGGATAAAGTGGTAAAGGGCCCCGTGTAGGGCCTGATGCACATCAACGCCTCTGAACAGATTTCTTCCGGGGGCAGCAACCGCAGCATGGCACGGGTGGCGAAGCGCAGTTCAGAGTCAGGCCACAGCCGGGCGTTCCCACACCCCATCTGTGTGCTCCCAGGCTTATAACCCGAGTCCTCCTGACCCGATGTTTCCTGTTACCACCATCTTCCCTTTTTTTTGGAGGGGGAGTCTTTTTTGATGCAAAGTTTCACGATGTGATTCAGGCTGGCCTTGAACTCACTTTGTAGCCCAGGCTGGCCTCAAACTCACAGAAATCTTCCTGCCTCAGCCACCTGAGTGCTGGGATTACAGGTGCTGAGTGCACCACTGTACCTGGCTATACAACCAGGTTTCCTTTCTCAAGGAGACCTGTTAAGCTTCCTCTATGTGCAGGGGTCCTTGGGACAGCTTTTAATTACAGGAGCAGGGGCTTTAGATTGTCATGAAACAGCCCCCAAATTAGGGATCCAAACCAGGGTTCCTGTTCCAGGTCCCGGTGCCCAGAGGAGCATGGGAACCTCTGGCTTTTGGCAAAGTCCTCGCTTGCCAGACTCCGCCTTTTGCTCTTCACCACCCAGCTTCCACCTTCCTCAGACCTGAACCAAAGGTCCAGCAGGCCCACGTGCTGTGCCGTCCCCTATGGCACAGGGTCCCTGGCTCAAGGGACAGCTGGAGTCTGCCGGCCCCTCAGCTTTCCATGAGGACGCGGTGGCAGGCAGTTCACAAGCTGCCATCTCGGATTCTACTCAGACTGTCCCTCAGCCCAAGGAGCACAGCGACTCCAACACGGACGCCTTCCCATGCAAGTGTAGGAGGAAGAGGGCTGAAATGGGGAGGGGACATCACAAAGACCTCCACCGAGCCCCCAACACCTGTCCCAGCCACACCGTTCAACAACATGCCAGAAGAAATGCCAACCTGAGAATTCACCCAGAGCAGTGATGAGGGAGTTGGTGGCCTCGGTTTCAGTGTAAGACAATGTGGAATCAGACAGATCTGTAGGGGAAAGAGAAAGAAAACTTAGTGCGCCAGGAGGTTCCGTGCTCCGTCTGCCCTCCTGTGCACCTGTGTGCATTGTGTGCATGCCTGCGTGCGTGCGTGCATGTGTATTTGCCAGTGCTGGCAAAGGAAGCACTGATGCCACACTTAACTTTACCCCAGGATCACCCCAGCCCAGCCTAGACCTCTCCTGGAAAATGTGGGCTGCTGAGGTCCCAACATCTGAAAAAGTAGTAAACGGCTTAAGTTGAGGAGCCTGAGCAAGTAGCAACTTGGAGCTTCCTGGGCAAGGTGAAATTAAGCCCCTAAACAATTCAGAGATGCTGTACTTAATTACAACCATTAAAATTCTTGAAGGTGTTCCTTCTTGCTGCTTGCTTGCTTCCTTCCTTCCTTCCTCCTGCTGGAGCTGGGGAAACTTTGTTTTAACAAGTCACAGTCATCCTCTCTCTGTCCCACTTACACCCCTCTAATTAAGGGCTCAACATCTGCTCCCAGATTAACTTAACTTCTCTTTCTCTCTCCCCACTCCACTCATCTCCCCTGCCCTGCTCCCAAACACACACACATCTCCTTACCACTCTGCTTTCAATGCCTGTACTGTTTTTTTTTAAGGTGCTCACTTTTTTTAAAAAAGTAGCTTCAAGGCCTTCATGTGGCCTGCAGTATTTGTTTTCTCTGTCTGCAGTTCAGTGAGATGAGGAGGGAAATACTTCTGCGCATTTTCTCCCCGTGGCCGATGCCTTCTGGGAAAGGCAGGCTTGAGAAATGGCTCCTGAGCCCTGCACTCTGCTCTGGCCGCCGTCACCGTGAAGCGACAGGCCTGTACGGGTCTGGGGCATCTGCAGCTGGGGCTGCCCTGACCTGGTCCCCTGGACCCCCAGCCCCAGGGCCAGGGATTCCGGGGCCAGAACCGTTAGTCTGGGCCTGAGCTCGCTAGAATTCCATTCGATCCTGCAGGAATTTTTTCCTTTTACCACATGGTCTGGAGAGCGGGAAGATGAAACATTAACCAAATTAGCTTTTTTTCCCTTTTTTTCTGCCCCACTTGCCAAATGCTGACTGGGTATTCTGGGTTTTATTTTGTTTTTTTGGTCTCATGTGATCATAGAGGCTTAGAAGCGAACTGATTTTGTTGTTTATGAAAAAGCCATCAATGCAAGGAAAAGAAAACAATGCCCCCCCACACACACAAACCTCCACCCCTCCAACTATTTATCAGGGCACAGAAATGTTATCCGCTGGTCGAAATATTAGGATGAAAATAAAGGCACATGGAAAACCTTTAAAACAAAACAAAGAAAAGCCACTCAATGTCTCTGGGGGAAAGTCTTAAGACTTTGGTTCTTGATAGTGAATGTCCCCACTGCTCAAAGCCACTTCCACCAAGGTGGGGAAATTGGCAGGAGCTGAGTCCTACTTCTGCCCAGGGTGGTGGCTTCCACCTTTCACAGGTCCGCATGGCGCCCTGCAACTCTCTCATCTTGAGCCTCAGGCAGGGTGCCTCAGGTGGGGGTGGCTCAAGAAAAAACAGTCCCAGCTTCTATCACTGCCCAGGGCCCCCAAGAGCCTCACTGCCACCAACAGCAATCTCAGGGACACTGCTCTTCTCTACAAAGAGCTGGTGAGGAAAGAGCTTTGGCTCTGTCACTCAGACAGTGCTGTGTGATTTCTCTGTGACTCCTCACCTGGGAGTTTCTAGCAAAGTAGCCCAGGGACATATGAAGGTAGCCAGGCATGACTGTGTCCCTGGACTCAAAGTCTGAATGTTATCTGATGTCAGGAATCTTCTTTCAATCTTTTTTAGCCATTTGAAAAATAAAAATCATGCCGGGCATGATGGTGCATGCCTGTAATCCCAGCACTCAGGAGGCTGAGGCAGGAGGACTCTTGCAAGTTCGAGACCAGCCTGGGCTACAAAGTGAGCTCAAGGCCAGTCTGAACTGCATAGTGAGACCCTGTCTCAAAAAGACAAAACATAAATAAATAAATAATAAAAACTATTCTTAGCTTAAAAGCCACATTAAAACAGGAGCAGGCTAAGTTCTGTGACCACCTGCAATGCTACTTCCTCTTCCTGGGCCTCACCTGTCTCATTCATAATAAAATGGGGACACGTTAGTTCCAAATGGTCACTCTGCAGGGTTCAGGGTTGGGGATCTGGCTTCCACAAGTCTATCCCAAGTTGACTGATGGTCCCTCAGGGCATTGATCCCTGATTTTCAAAAAGGGTGCCACATGTTCTCTAAACTTTTAAGGGCTTCTTGTCTGATCTTCCCTAATGGAACCAGGGATCTCCTATGAGATGAGCACTGGGACACCAGTTTGAGAAATACTGAGCCAGTCTGGGGTGGCAGGGTGGGTGCCCTAGACCTGAACAGGGTTGTTCTTTATCAGTGCCCCGGCCGAGCCTGCAGCTCCCCTAGACCAAGCAAGGACCACCAGACCTTTCTGGAACAAAGACTGGGAAGCCACCCATTCAGCCACTGACTGGCACACCCTCTCAGGCACCTCTGCTCCCGTGGCGAAGGTACTCACATTACTGAGGGAACCTGGTGGCACCACTGGCCTCATGGGAGTGGGGGCTGGGGAAAGTGGGCTACGACCTTGAGAGTCCAGGACCCTTAGATGTGGCCTCCACTTCCTATCACCAGGCGGGATCTTCACCAAAAGCAAGGCCAAACCCATCCTGTGGTCCCTTGGAGACGTTCACTCAGCATGAATGCCAGTGTCCCACTGAAACTCCCCACGTCACCAAGGTACTGTGCTGGTCACACCCCACGCTGGGCACTACTGGCCTTTCCACAACCACATGGATTGCCCCAGGATATGAGCTAATTACTTAGCCCCAAGATGTTCTAAACTGGTCTTGTTTAAAATGACATGGCCAGAGGGGTACAGTGGCTCATGTCTGTCATCCCAGCACTCGGGAGACTGAGGCAGGAGGATTGCCAAGTTCAAGGCCAGCCTGGGCTACATAGTGAGACCCTGTCACAAGGGAAAAAAGGAGAGGAGGGTACACACAGCTCCTCAGCAAGACTTGGTGACCCACCTGTCACACTCCTAATTAATTCACTCTACAGGAGAAAATCTAAACCTGGGGGAGGGAGAAGAAAAAAAAACAGAATCCCAGCCCACCCTCAAAGCCCACTCCCTCCCACAGGCCGTGTGGAAAAGCCACACAAAGGTTAATGATGAGCCCTGGAATCCTAAGATGTAAACGGCTGGCTGCAGAGTCTGCCTGGGCCTGAGGGTAAGAGTATGTGCAAAGCCTCACCCTCTCAGAGCTCACAGCCCGCAGCTCGCTCGGAGGACACTTACCCAGTGGCTTGTACTCGTCAGGAGGAGACAGCCGAGAGTAGGGGGGTGGCGGTGATTCTGGAAGACAAGAGACAGCTTGTCACTGTAGGGGTTCACCCCTGGGTTCTTTGCACTTTTATATTTTGTATGGTTGTTGCTTTTTCAGACAGGGCTTCACTATGTGTGAGGTCAGGTGGGGCTTGAACTCACAGCGAGCCTCCTGCCTCATCTTCCTGAGTGCTGGGATCACTGGTGTGCACCAGTTTTAAACATTAGTTTCCTTACATAATAACCTCAGCCCTCAGGAAGCTCTCCATTTCTCTCCCCACCTCGGCTTCCCAACCGGACTAGAACAGTTAAGACCACCAGACTACTCCGTGCAGAAGGCTGTGCATCTCAGGCAAGTTCCTGCACCTCTCTGAGCCTGTCTCTGCTACTATAAAGGGGGGATAATGATCAGAGACTGCCTGGTTCTTCCCGAGGGAAAAAGGAGATAATGTACGTTACATGCTTAGCTCAGCTCCTGGCGCTGTGGAAAAACACCTCTGTAAAAAGTATCTACAATTATTAAAACGCAGCGTGGGGGGAAGTGACGGGGAAGTCAAGGCCAGGGTTGGTGTGTAAAATACAGCGTGTTCAGTTAAATGTGAATTTGGAGTAAAAGCAGCATCTAGCACAAGTACAGCCCTTTTAAATGTTTGGAATATGCTTATACTGAATTATGCTTGTATAAACCACCGGGTGTGGTGGTGCACACTTGTCATCCCAGCACTGGGGAGGCTGAGGCCAGCAGATCTCTGTGAGTTCAAGACCATTCTGAGCGTCATAATGAGTTCCAGGCCAGCCTGAACTGCACGGCGAGATACACACACCAGAAGTGGAACCCAGTTCAAGCACCTGGATAGGAGCCTTTGAACAGTCACACCCAGCTCCCAGCCTCAGTCCCCAGGAGGAGGGAAAAGCAGAGGTGGGACCCAGCCGCCCGCAGCAGCTCTGGATTCCCAAGTCTGCTGTGCTTCCCTCTGGATTTCCTTTCGTTTGCCTAAAATACTTCTTAAAAACATACTTTTTGCCCTCCATGAGTCTTAGCTTCTTGCTTCAGGGGAAGTAACAATTTGCCAAACTAAGTAACAATTTGCATGAATGAAATGACCCTTCATTTTGCAAATGTGAAACTCGACACCGTCCAATGGCCATTGAGGGCAAGCTGAGCTGTAATAAAGTGGTAATAACTATTATTAGGCAGTATCAGGAATGACACAGGGGTAAGTGTTTTTTTCGCAATTATAATGGGGCACAATTAGTCGTGCTTGTCCATACACCCAGCCAGGCTTCACTGCTCCCCTAACCTGCCTGGTTGGCCAGGCTGAAGGCTATCACCCTTATCTCCCCAGCTTCATACTGATGGCGGGTAAGACAGGGCCTCACTATGTAGTGCACTCTGGCCTTGAACTCACTATATAGCCAAGACTGGCCTCAAAATCCCAGCAACTCTCCTGCCCCAGCTTCCAATTGGTAGGATTACTGTACAGCCATGTGCCGCCATGCCTGGCTGAGTATTGTGTTTTATTCTTGCAGACCTGAGGTTCAGAGTGGTTCAAGGTGCTCGTCAGAAAACTATGTTTACTTAATCCTTTCTCAAAAAATGAGTATAAATAAGATGACACAATTATTCCCATTTTACAGATGAGAAAACTGACTTCCCCCAGAGCTCCTAGACTGTCAGTGAAGCTGGACTGGCACCTAGCAAAACTCACTGGCTGAGGCCCAGTGGCACACGGCATGGAGTTCTGGACATTTATCCCCCAACTCTATCTGTCCCCAAAGGTGCGGCTTAGCCCCATGGTGGTGACAGCTGAAGTACAGCCATTATTCCCAACGCCAGCCACTCTTGCAAGGACTGGCGACCCAAAAGCTGGAAGGCAGAGTCCCCCTGCAGAAGCCACCTGGTCCTTGAGCAGACACCACCAGTCATGGCCACACCCAGCTTGAGAGTTTCTAATGACATCAATGAGACAGAAAGAAAACCTAGGAGCCCGAAATACAGACACACCAGCTAGGAGAGGACAGAACAGTGCCAAGGTGATTTTGCCAACTAAGTTGCTGTTACAAAGTATTTCTCCAAGGAGAAAGGGTCTGGGGGGGCCACACACTCAGCTCCTTCTGTTAACCTACATGGCACCTGATGTCCAGGCAGGGAAAGGACTGGCCTGAAGCCACCCATGAAGGTGGCTGCAGGTGTCTCTCACAGGTGCCTAAACCAAGGGGAACCACGACCAGTTGATCTTCAAAAATTTTTTTTTAAAAATTGAGATGTAATTCACAAGCCATGACATTCACCCTTGGAAAACAAGCAGTTTAGGACTTTTCACTTTATTCAGAGGGTGATGTGACCATTACCATGATCTAATTATAGGACATTCCAACACCACAGGAAGAAACCCTAACCCTGTTGGCAGTCACATCCTATACTCTAACCCCCAGCCCTAGGCACCCACTGTTACGGCTGTGTCTGGATGTCCCCCCAAAGCCTCATGTGGTCACAGGTGGAGCTTTTCCAGAGGTGGCTGCATCTAGAGTGTGACGCTGATATGAAGGGGGAGGATTACTAAATCAGGCCACCGATTTTGTGGCACTGCCCTAATCCGGTGACCTAGACAGGACTGAAAAGATGCAGAAAGAAGTGCTGGGGTCTCTTGCTTGCCCTGCTGCCGCTGCCCACTGTGGACTGTTTCTCCTCTTGCCATGCCCACTGCCAGGCCACCCTGCCTTGGAGCCAGCCGATTATGGACTAAACCTCCACATACTGTGAGCTAAATAAACCTTTCCTCCCTTTAACTTGTGAGTGTTGGGTATTTTTGCCTCAGCCAAGAGAAACGTAGCTACGATGACCCACTAATCCCTTTCTTGTCTCTGTGGATTTGCCTATTCTGCAAGTTTCATGTAAATGAGATCACACAGTCTGCGCCCTTTGTGTCCGGCTCCTTCCACTCAGCAGAGCCTTTTCAAGCCTCATCTGTGCTGCAGTGTGATCAGGCCTTCTCTGTTCATGGCTCAGTGATACTTCATTGTGTGGATGTACCACATTTTATTTATCCACTCATCAGCTAATGGACGTGTGAGTTGTTTCCACTCTTAGCTGTTATGAATGACATGCTCTGAACAATACTGGATAATTCCCAACTGCCACTCCCACTCCACTCCCAGATGGTCAGGTGTCCCAAGACCAGGAGCCTGGGGATGTGAACTGAGGTAGGATACTCCGGTGGGATGCCTGGTGGGTAAGATAAAGGGTCAGCAGGGAAATTGAGTCACCACCAGGCCCTCTGCCCATTGCCCTCTCAGAAGATGTCTTAGTGTTTGCAAAAGCTGTGGAGAGTTTGAAATAATTCAGACACTCTAAACTTGTACTGACTTCCTAGAACACTTTAGGACCTGGGCAGAGTAGAGAGGAAAAGACAAAGAGAAAGACCTGAAAAACTCCACCACTACCCAGTCTAGGCAGCCATCCCTTCGGCCAGGGCTCCCCAGAGCTCCGGATGCAAGCTGGTTAGCTGGTTAGCTCAGCCCAGCCCAGGCCAGACCAGAGGCACCTCCAGTAAAACCCCCCCCCCGGGGGGGGGGGCGCTTGCGGAGCGGGGAGGGCGAGCCTCCTGGGATCTGGACCTGCATTTGAAGCCAGTCTTCAGTTTGGCCCTGCTGCACCTTCCGCCTCCGCCTCCATCCGGGAGGCCCAGCATCTTGCTTAGAAAGACCCAGTGCGCCTATCCCGGTAGCAGGAGAGTAGGGAAGGGGGCCCTGTCTCCTCCCGCAGAACCTAAAAGCTCCACCCCAGCCCCAGCCTGGGATAGGAGAAAAGGGGCTCCCGCCACTTTAAGGCCAGCAGAACCTAATTGCCCAGATTTCCCTAGCAGCCAGATAAACAGGGAGGCAGGCTGGCGCCAGCAAGAGGCAAACTGCACATTATCACCCCTTCCTCACCTCCAGGAGGAGCGCGGAGGAGCAGGCGGTGGCCTAGGCCCCCCCACCTCCCGAGCAGAGCAGCGGGCGGCTGGGAAGCCCAACTTGAAATTGATCTCATTTCAAAGGGACAAGGCCAGGCCAGAGCAAAGGAAAACTTTTCGAGCGGTCTAATTCCTCCAGGCCTGGCCTGGGAACCCTGTGTTTTCCTCTGAAGCCTCCTTCAGTCGGTTAGAAGTTTCTGTCCCTCTCCCTCTCCCTCTCCCTCTCCCTCTCCCTCTCCCTGTCTCTCTTTCCCGGGCACAATTTGGATAATAGTAATTTACTGAATATAATTACAGAAAAAAAAAAGTGGTGAAGCACAGAGCAGGAGATTTATCCCAAAGTTAATGGATACTTTCGGGGAGAAAGGAGCTCTATAAACACAGGTCAGAACTGTGATTAAAGTATTTCTCCACATTTCCGTCCACATAGGCACCCACGAGCTCAGCTGCCTGTGCCCGAACAGGGTGGCAGAGGGGGCCTCGGGACGGTGCCTGGAACACGGCCTGCCACCAAGGGTGGGGCCTCTACTGAGACCCCAGTTCTAGGGACAAACCAACATGAATGGGGCAACCACAAGGGAGAAGGCCTGGAACCCCCAAACATGCAGATGGGGAGAGGGGCAGAGAGGGGCACTGTACCCCAAATGCCATATGAAGCTGATGGGCCTGAGCAGGCTGGTGCTCTGAACCTCAGTGGGTCACCATTTGAGGAGTGGTGACATGGGGTGACTGGCAGTGCCCTGGGCCTGTTCACTGGAACAGGCCCATCCCGGCCCGGCCTCTTTAGGGAGCGTGCTCCTAATCAAGACACCCCAGCTATGCTCACATCCAGCCTCTAGAGCCAGGCAGCCAGGTAGACAGCCAGGCAGCATTGGCCAGGTAGCAGCAGAGGGCTTCCCCAGCTCTGTGTCCCTGCCAAGGCCAGAGGGTCACGGTGTCCCACAGCTGCAGGGACTGCAGGGATGGGTGACTTGGGGGCCCCCGGAAGTGGCCACCAAAGAGACAGGACAATTGAGGGGGCTCTGCAGGCCCGGTGATAGCACCTCCTTCTGGAGAGACCACGGTGGCCCAGCCCCAAGGTTTAGTGCAGCATTAGATATACCCACACTGACCTGTAAGACCACAGAAAGGGGAGGCCACCAGTCCAAGGTCAACTTGCTAGTTCCAGGCTGGGCGGAGCCGAGCACCAGGTTCCATGGGTAACAAGTGGCCTGCAACTGACCCTGTGGCCCTCAGCCTGTTATTGCCCAGGCCACCAAACTCACACCAACACCCTAGCCACCTCCCAATCCACACAGCAGGAGCCAGAGCAGGTCCCATCTGCACCTCTAGCTTTCTCTGCTCCTCCCCTTCCTGCCCCCTCACCTGAGCATGACTGGCCCCTGCCACCCCAGGACAGAGGCCTGGCGCTCCTAGAGGTGATGTGTCACACACACACACACACACACACACACACACACACACACACACAGCACTACAGGAGCTTCACACCACTGACCAGGTGCCACTGACCCAGCCCTACCCGCTTCCCCTTCTTTCCACCTCACTGACCCCAGGGCTTGAGCCTACTGTAATTCCCTCTCTGCCAGCTACAGCACCCAAACACTGCCTGGCACATAGTAAGTGCTCAACCAACACTCACTGGCCCACTGACATGGTGAGAGAGACAACTAACCCTAACCCACCAGACTCTTCTAGAAGCGGAGTGTGCCTCACTGTCCGTCTTCAGGGCCCAGACCACCATCCTGCAGTCACCTTCCCCAGGGACAAAGAAAAAACAGGGGTGACGGAAGGCAGAAAGCACTTTCCAAGGCTGCTGTCAGCAAGAGGAAAAGGCACATGGGAAGCCAGTGGGGGCCACAGGCCATGGATTCTGCCGTGACCTGTGACCTGGAGTAGGCCCCCACCAATGCCCTCTATTCAAGAACCACTACTGGGGGCACCTTTTCCCTTCCAGCTATCACCTGCCTCAACACATCTAGGGTCGATGCTAAGCACTAAATCTCCCTTCCCCTTCCTCATAAAAGCCAGGAGACCCAAGCTTTCGGACTCTGTCCAGGGAGGACACAGGGAGGAAACTCCACGCACCCCCAGGGCCCTCGGCCTGTCACTCTGCCTGTCCCCTATCAGCAATCAGCCTGTGCTGTCTAAGGGACTTGCATGCACCCCTCCCAAACACCTCTGCAGAACAGAGGTTAGGGCAGGGGGTGCAGGCTGCGCTTGCCAGGGACCTCCTTGAGCTCCCACCTCTGCTCCAGCACCTGTCCCCAGGTAAGCAAAGGGGTGGGGTGTGCAGGAGAGCCTGGAGAACAAAGCAGAGGGCCGTTCTCTGGGGCAATAAAACAGCTGGCTTCCTCCCTGCTTTGGGATGCCTCCAGGAACTCTGCTCTGGAGGAAACCCAAGCCCAGGCGGGAGAACTTCGAGGCTGGGGGCCTCCGGTAGCACAGCGCACCAAGAGATGCTGGAAGGAGAGAGGAGTCGCCCTGGGCTTTGCTCTCAAGACACACCAGAGCGAGTGGAACAGCTCACCAACTCCTTTGACTCTGACCACAATTTGTCTACACAACTTGTATGTCCTTGGACGCAGAAAGGCACCGCAGAGGTATAGGAACACAAGCACACAAATGCTAGAAACCCAGGTACGGAAATGGGAGGCACCCATCTCAGACCTCTCCTTTACCTGCCCTCCCCATTCAAGGTCTGAAGCTGAAGGCCAGAAGGCGTCCCTGAAGCTGCAAACTCCAGTTGTGCACACTTTGTTAGGTTTGCTGAAACCTTAACCTGCGTTGCCCTTTGCCGCTCGTGCGCGGACGCCCCCCTCCCGGGGGCTCCCATGCTCAGGGGGGCCCCAGCCTGCCCCAGAGCCCAGGGCGCAGAAGCTCGCGGGCAGGGAGGAAGCAATGGCTTCGCGTGCATGCGTGCGCTCACCTGGCCCGCAAAGCCGACTGAAGTGGTAGGGGTTGCAGCACACAGTGGGGCCATCGGCGGCAGCGGCGAAGCTGTGGCAGCCGCACAGGGGCTTGAGCTCCACGGCGTGCTGCAGGTCGGGCCAGCGGAAGAGGCGGCCGAGCAGCAGCTGCGGTGGCGCGGGCTGGCCGCCCAGGCGGAGTTCGGCGCGCGGCACCAGCACGCAGCCGCCCGGCACGCCGCCGCGGGACTCCACGGCCTCCAGCAGCGTGTCCAGCGAGCGCTCCTTGAGCCGCTTCAGCAGCGAGTACGTGACGGTCTTCAGCTCCCGCTCCAGCAACAGCAGCCGCGAGCGGCCTTCGCGGCTCTGCCCGCCGCCCGCCGGCTCCGGGCCAGCTCCCGCTAGGGGTTCGCCGGCGTCCTGGGGCGCGTCTGCCGCGGCGTCCCGCTCCGAGAAAAGGCAGCAGGTCACCGTCTCGCAGTCACTCTCGGGCAGCCAGCCCGGACCTCCTGGTTCTGCCACGTCCAGCGGGGAACCCCCAGAGCCAGCCCCTGGCTCCGACATGGGCCTCGGGGGGCCCCCCGCGCGCCGGCGCCTGCCTGTGCCCTGGGCGCCGCGCGGTCCCACTGCGTCCCGAGGCCGCCGCAGGGCTATCGGGTGGACCTCAGGGCGGCCGCAGCCTGCGCCCTCTCTTGTGCGCGGGGCCAGCTCTGCTCGGCTGCCCAGGCTCTCATCCTCGTCGTCTCCTCCTCCGCCGGCGCCGACGCCTCCGCCTTCCTCCCGGTCGGGGACCACACGACTTCGCCAAAGTCGCCGCACCAGCCCCGAGCGTTTAGACCTGAACATACGATATCCTTTGGCGCCAGGGGGGGTGGGGGGAGTGGCGGTCTCCGGTTACCGGGGGTCCGTTCCCTCAGCGAGGCGCCGGCTGCGCGGGCCGCAGCCCTGCATGAAGCTCCGCCGTGGGGCGCGGTGCAGAGCGCGCGCAGCCCCTCGTCGAAGTGGCGCCGCGGGGCCGCAACATGAGGGAGATCGCCGGGGCTGGACGGCCAGGAACTCGCGCGCTCCGAGCCGCAGCCCGCGCGGGGCCGGCGGCTGCACACACCGTGCGGCCGCGCTGCTCAGCTCCGGCCCCCGCGAGTCGGGGGCGCTGCAGAATGCGCGCGGCTGGAGAGATCCCGCATGGGCCGAGGAGCCTCCAAAAGTTCAGCGGTGGTCCTTGAGCACAAAGCGCTCGCACCGAAGCCCCGAAAGACTGCCTTGAAAACTCAAGCGCTTCAAAACATGGGCTCTTCCTACAGGCTCCGAAAGGCAGGCTTGCGGATACCCTCAACTCCCTGCAAAAAGAAAGGGGAGGAGAAAAAAAGGAGGTGGGAAGAAAAAGAAATTCCAAACAAAACCTCAATCCCAGGGTTTGCATGCACGGAAGGCCAACTCGGTCTCAGGTCCCAGGCGCTAGATGCACTTGGAGCGAGTTATTCCGGAACGTGGTGTCAAGCACAGGACTGGGAACTGTAAAAACCCCAGAGCTGCTGGGAATCCTTAATTAAAAATGCAGTCCGACGAGGCAGAGGTCGCAGACCGCCCCACTCTGCGCTCGGACGCTTCGGGCGCCGCGGCTGCCGAGGTCGCCCCCCCTTCCCCCCCGCCACCGAAGTGCCTCCCGGCGGCCCCGCGGTCCCGGCGAAGATCGGCGAGGCAGCGGCCAGCGGCTCTTTCTCTCCGCTCGGCTCCCTCTTTTGCTCCCCGGCACGGCTCTCTCTCTTTTTTGTTCTCCTCAAACGCACAGTGAGGGCCCCCGGAGGAGCGCCGCGGAGTCATTGGCTGCCTCCCATCATATGCCAGTCTAGACACTTTGGCGGCTCCGCGGCGCTGATTGTTGCGCAAACAAGGTTTCAAGTTTCTTAACTCTTAAAGGAGAACACGTCCCATTGCAGGGCCCAAGGCTCCGAGGGGCCGGTTCCCGGGGCGGGCCGAGCCCGGGCCCCCGCCCGCCCTGGCACCCCCGCCCCGCGGCCTGACAGCGCCCGGGGCTCGCTCTGGGGCCATCACCCGGCACGGGTGCGCGCGAGCACCGGGACACACTCGCGCACAGGCACCCTGGGCTGCCCGCGTTGCCAGCGTAGGCGCCTAGGCTCCGCACACCTACCGAGCCCCAGATGCGAACTGGGCACCCAGCCTCTGCCCACCTGGTGCGCGAATTTACAAACATACATTGCACTTCAGAGTCGTGCAAACCCCTGTCCCAGTGTGGGCCAATAAAAATGGGTGTGCGTGTGCTTTCCTGCTCCGCGTCTCAAGGGAGCAGATTGGGGGAGCCGGACTTTCTGTGGCGGCGCCAGGGCTGTGAACCCCCTACAGTGTCGGGGAACCTGGGGCGCTGCGCGCAGGAGGCTTCAGGCTCGCCTAAATGGGGACTTGGTGAGGGTGAAGAGTGTGTCCTCGATGGCTCCCACAAGGCGTCCCGATTCCACCGGAAGGGCTGTGTTTTGGGTGGCGCTGTCCCCAGCTAGGGACAACAGGGAAATAGGGGTGAGACGGGGATGGGATTGGGACAGCCGGCGCGGTAAGGGTTAAGCCCGCTCGGGCCCTGGAGCCGGCGCGGCGGGGTACCTCCTCGGGCGCGCTCGCTCGTCCGAGGGTGGCAAAAGTTCAAGCTTGTAAAGTCGGGATTGGTCCCGCGCGGAGGGGGGGAGGCCTGGTCCCCCCTCCCCCTCCTGGGCGTGGCGCCGATTGGCCGGGCCGCTGGGCCGGCACCGCCTTCCCCCAGCGTGCGGCGGTCCCACCCCCTCGGCCCGGCGGCCCGCCCCTTTCCGGGCAGGAGCCGGGCCCCGCGCTCAATGAAAGAAATTCCGCTACTCTCATTGGCCCGGGGCTGGGCGCCAGGTCCCGCGGGGCCTAGGGGCGCCGGCGCGCGGGACTCCCTCGGGTGCCCACGCTCGGGGTTGGCGGTGAAAGTGCGCGGCGGGGCCACCCCAGGCTGCCCGGGTCCGTGTGCGCGGGCGGAGGGCGCAGTATGCTGAGAGAGGCCAGGAGTCTCAACCTAGACCCAGGTACTGCGCGCCCCGCGCTGTCCGGAGAGGCGATTTCCCCCCGGGATGAAGAGTGGGACGAGAAACGTCCCCAGACCCAGCCTTTCCTGCTCTGGCCAGTTCCACATAGCTCCCTTGACTTGGGGGTCTTGCTTAGAAATATGGGTCTTGCAACCCAACACAGCAAAGACCGTCAGAAAGGGTGTCCAAGTGCTCGAGCAAGCACCCCAAAACAAAGTTACCCGCAGTCAGAAGTCACTCCCACTCTGGGGACAAATTAATGTATTTTAATTATTTTTTGTTTTCCTAGACAGGATCTCACTACATATCCTGGCTGGCCTTGAACTTACTAGGTATTGTATAGCCAAAGCCGATCTTTAACTCACAGCCATCCTGCCTCAGCCTCCTGAGTGTTGGGATTACTGGCCTGCGCCACCATATGGGGCTAAATTCATGCGTTTTAAGATACAAAAAGGAAACTAAACGTCAAATAGATTCTTTGCTGCTTCAGATGCTGATTACATTAACAGTGCCTGGCTGTTTAAGACAATGGTCCTTGTCTTACCAGGACTCTATCACTCGCATCTATTAGCAGTATTACTTTTTCCATGTCCAGATAGGGAAACTGAGGCACAGGAGCTTGTCCATTTACTTCACCTTTGAAAAGCGGGCAGTGGTGAGAGTGCAAATGAGCCCAAACAAGCAGCATACACCAGCAAGTGTGCCCACCCCAGCAGCTGGGAGTCGTATATGTGAGTCTGTGGCCCTGCACACCCTTGAGGGCAGGGGTTTTCCAAATGCAGCTGGGAGTCCACCTCTATGGGACCTGCAGGAGTCACAGGGAGAGGGTGGCCCAGCTTGCCCTAGTGGCAGAAGGGAAGGGGCGGTGAGCATGGGGGGGGGTGTTTCAAGCAGCGCGCCTGTGGGGCTTCCTCTGGGACAGAGAGGGTTCCAGGATGCCCAACTCATTACCCCAGGAAGATGTGTGCTGTGCTCACCCCAGGATCTTGGTGCCCCACTGCAGAGAGGGCCCCAAGACTCCTGGTCTGTGTTCCAGTCCTAGGTCCAGGAGACACTTGTGCCCTGGCTGCCTTCTCCTCTGGGTACAAAATCAGCCAAAATGTGCCCTCTGTTCTTGTTTCCTGGGAGATGCAGCCCTGAGTGTGAACATGCTGCCTACCCTGAGAGCCGTGAACCGGGAGTCCCGGTGGGCAGACTCTGCACTGAGCCCAGGTACTTTCCTCTGCCCCCCATCCCCCGTCTTAAGAGGTGGGTCAGGAGTTGCGCTGCAGGTGTTGGGAAGTTAAATGGCAAGAGGCCCGGAAGCTGCCCTCCTTGCCTGTCTCCGAAGCCCAGGAGGCATCACCAGGGCGGCAGTGCTGGTCCACCCCCACCTCAGGTTCCCAGGCCTGGGCAGCCTAGTGCCTGGCATGTGTGTGGCCACTAGAGGGTGCCTATCGCGGCAGGGCCTCCAAGTTGCAGCGGCAGGACCCCCAGGCTGCCGGTACAGCCAGGCAGAAACACAGGCTGCAGTGTGGAAAGGATGCGTGGAAGGAGGAGGGGAGGACCCTGCTGCTCCGCACCAAGTGATTCTGCCCGCCCTTCTGTGCCCGTCCTGAACCCCGGCACCACTTCACCTCCCTCCTAGCATCACTACCAAGAGCTTGTGCCTCTGTGACCCATTTTTGAGGAGGATGCAGAGGTTAAGCACAGTAATTTGTTCCAGTCTCGTTGCTCCTAGGTGGCAGAGATGAGACTTGAACCCAGGGCCGCTTGAGGTAAGTGTGGATTTTAACACCTGCTCCTAGGAAAGCACTCTGGTCCTTGGCCCTGGGGAAGCTCCACACTGGCTGGGAGGCAAGAATGAAGACCATGAAGCAGCAGAAATTATGCCAAGCAGAGCTGGCTTCTGAGTGGCAGGAAGGGGCAGGCTCAGAGGCCACTTCACACAGACACAGACGTTGCAACCATCTCTTGCTTCCCTGGCTCTTTCATTTTTTATTTTGAGACAAGGTTGTGCCATGTTGCCCAGGTTGGGCTTGAAATTGCGTTGACCTGCCTTAAGCCTCCCAGGGTCCGAGATTACAGGCATGCCTCACCACGCCCTGCTCATGACAAAGTCTGGAAGGTGGGGTGGGGACATAGCCAAAGCTGTCCTCCAAAAATTACAGGACAAAGGGCAGCAAAACGCAAGCCAGGCTCGCCTGATATGTTCCCAGACATCAGAGAGCGACCAGGTCAAGAATTCCCAGGAGGACAGATTGTCACATGAGCCTCCTTGGACCTTCGGGCTGTATTCTAAATTGCTGAGGCAGTACGGGGCTTCTGATCCGGCCTCTGCTTTAACAGACTCCCCCTAAAGGCCTCGCGGGTAACAGCACACAGGGGTTGTTGCTGTGGCCCAGGCTAGATGGGTTGGGCGGAGATGGGATCCCGGAGACTGGGAAGCAGCTCTGAAGCCTTGCACATATTATCCATCACTGCGAGACAAGAAGCACGCCTGGAACCCCGGCCATTGGGAGGCTGAGGCAGGAGGACGGCTGAGCGTTTGAGGCTAGCTTGGGACTACGTAGTGAATTCAAGGCCAGGCTGAACTACACAGTGGGACCCTGCCACAAAAAAGAAAAAGTTACAAATACACATAATAAAATGTTCCCAGTATCCTCCTGCCTCAGCTTCCTAAGGACTACCATGCTTGGCTCCATTTTAAATATTAGTGCTAACCCAGATATTTTAGGAAATAGAATACAAAAATTTCCATGGTTTTTTTTTTTTTTTTGCCTTGTTTTGTTTCATTTGCTTTCTGATTTTTTGAGATAGGATTTCGCTAAGGATTTCCAGCTAGCCTCAAACTCTCAGTCATCCTCCTGCTTCAGCCTCCTGAGTGCTGGACCTAGGTGTGCGCCACCATGACTGGCTTCACCGGAGTTTCTGAACCAACATGAGAGGCCACAGAAGAATACAATGGTCCAGCTGGGTGTGGTGCTGCAGGCCTGTAATCTCAGCCCCCCTGGAGGCTGAGGCAGGAGGATCAAAAGTTTGAGGCAGCCTGGACGATTTAGCAAGACTCTCTCTTAAAATAAAAATTTTTTTAAAGGACCAGGTGTGTAGCTCCATCATAGAGGGCTTAGCATCAGATCAGTCTCCAATACCACACACACACACACACACACACACACACACACACACGAGTCACAGTCATTGGAAGCAGCCCCTGTGCGCAGCCCCTTTTGGAGGAGGCTTCTTTTTCCAGCCCTCAGGTGGTGCAGGGACTCTTAGGGACCAGGGCATGGTCTGCAGAGGTTGGCATTCAGTGCTGTTCCACATTGCCTGCGGGCACCCTTGACCCTCCAGTGGATCCCTGACTCAGAGAGGGTGCCCATCCGGCCTGGCTGGCTGTGGGTCCCCCTTTTCCTTCCCCTTTCCACTCCATGGACCCAAACAGGAGCAGGCCTGCTCCCCAGAATACCTGGAACTCCCTGCCACCCCTGCCAGTGTAGGAGCCCCCATCTGCCCAGAATGTCTGGCCTCCTTTTATTCGGAACTAATGTTTCTTCCTCCCAGAAACCAGGCCCAGCCTGAGGCTCCTACATTCGGCGGCCCAGCAACATCTCTTCATCCCTCCTTCCTCCTTCCCTGAGCTGACAGTGCTCACACCCATCCAAGAGGCCAGAGCCAGGCATCGTGGCGAGCGCCTGTCATTCCAGCACTTGGGAGGTTGAAGCAGGAGGATTGCTGTGAGTTCGAAGCCTACTTGGACTCCATAGTGAGATCATGTCTCTGGAAAATTTGTTTAAAAAATGCTAATAAGAGGAAAGAGATTAGTACACTTTGCTTCATGAACATGATATCGATTTATAAATAAAATTGCGGCCTACCATCCAGCTGCTCAAAAAGACATGGGCAACCTTGATGGAGAAGATGGATACATAAAGTGAAACGAAACAATGCAGACAATTTTTGCATCCATTTCTTAAAAAGTATATATGCTTGGAAAGACACACAATAAGCTGGTGAAGGTGGGTTTCTCTGGAGGGGTCCTGGGAAGCCAGATGCTGGTGCATTATCTTTTGTCTCTGTGCTCACTGGAGTTTTATTTGCTTTTTAAAATGTATTCTATCCACTAGATCAGACTTGTACCTGAGACCAAATCTAAACAGTATCAAAGGCTCAGTAAAAAGGTGTCTCCTGGCTGGGTATGGTGGTGCGCACCTGTGATCCCAGTACTCTGGGGGGTAAAGCAGGAGCATCTCAAGTTCAAGCCCAGCCTGGGCAACTTAACAACTCTATGAGAGCTTGTCTCAAAAAAAATTTTTTTTAAAAGGCTGGACTTCAATCTCCAGGGCTGCAAAAACAAAAACAAAAAAAGAGGGATCAGAGTCCCTTGCAGTTGAAGAGGCCCTTTAAAGACTCTATATCCAAAACCTCCAGTGTAGAGTGGGAACTAGGTCTATCCCTGTCAGTGCAGTGTGCACCCAGCTCTAAACACAAGCAAGTGGGAATGCCCTGTAACACTCATCTGGGGCTAAAGGCAGTAGAAACCCAGGCAAGCTGCCTGGAAGAGGGACCTCTTTGAGCCAGGCCTGGGTGGAGAGAACAGGCAAGGTGCGGAGAAAATTGGGAGCCCATGGTGGGGAGCAGCTTCTGGGAGCCTAGCATGGGGGCCCTGCAAGGCCCTGCAAGGCACTGCCCCAGCCTCATGCTGCAGCAGGGCATCCCATGCTGCAATGGCCGACCATTCTCCCCAGTAAGGTGGTGCTGTTTGGGGGGTCCCAGACAGGTGAAGTGAAACAGATGGTGGATGATCCCTGTCTGACATCAATAATGTCAGCAATTAAGGATTTCGAGTGAACAGATGGTGGTTGCCACTCGCTGTATTGCTGCTTGTCGAATAGAACTTGAACTTGTTAAAAATGAGCCCTGGCTACAAAAGAAGGGCAGGGTCCTTCTGAATGCAGTACTGCGGGTTCTGAGTCCCTTCTGCTTGGGCAGCCAAATGCCAGCCACAGTGGACCAGACTGGGAGATATGCATGGAAATCAGCTGTCTGTCTGTCTGTTTTTAGACCCAAGGTCTCATGGAATAGCCCAGGCTGGCCTCAAACTCACAGATTCTCCTGCTTCAGCCTCCCAGTTACTGCTATCAGCTGTCCAGGGCAGGGAGGACAGTTGCATTTTTCAACATTCTTGCTTGCATGACAGCAAAGGGTGACACATTTTTATATATCGCTTCCTTTTTCTTTTGTGAAACATACCACATGCTTTTGCCTGATCAGAGTCACGAGACTGCCCCTATCCTCCTTTGTACTTGGCATAGCCCTGTGACTACTTGGGCCAGTAATACATGAACAGAAGTACTGTGTGAGACTTCTGGGAAGACTGCATAACAGGAGTTGCCTGGGAAGCATTTTCCTTTGACTTTCAATCCTTCCTTCTCTAGTCTAGAATATGGATGTGATGGCTGGAACCCTGGAAGCCATCAGGAACCATGAAATGACCTTTGCAGATACAAGGCATACACTGAGGGATGGAGAGCATCAACAGAGAGGAGCCCAAGTCACTGATGCCTCCTTCAATCCAAAATGCCAGGCCTGGATCACCTGCCTATTTGAGTGTGTTTGCCTGCCTTGCTGACCTCTAGTGGAAAGAAGGATATTAAAAGGAACCTTGAAAGTATCGGTCATTTGTAGTAGTCAGTTTTCCATCCTGTGATCAAAGACTTGACCAACAACTTGCACAGGGAAAAGATTCGTGGTGGCTTATGGCCGCTAGGATTCAGTCCATTAAAACCAGCTCTGTGCCTTAGGCCTGTGACAGGGTAGGAGCATCATGGCAGGAGGGAATGATGGGTGAAAGTTGCTCACCTCATGGCAGCCAGGAAAAAGGGAGAAAAAGAGATAAAAAGGAAGGGGCCAGGGCCAAAGCAGAGCCCCTCCGCTACCATGATCCATGACCTTCAGCTAGGCGCCCCTCCTGTCTCCTCCCTTTCCCATAATGCACCAAAGGACAAGTTCTTCAATGGGCCCATTCACTAGGGATGGCCACAGGTGTCAGAGTGTGTCTTGCAGATGCTGGAAATGAATCTCCAAGGTGACACAGTCCTCACCTGCATAGCTAAGAGGTGGCAGTGTGACCCTGGGTCACACCTGGCCCTGGCTCTGGAGGAATTTCCCAGTGCACAGCTTAGATGGGAAGGGGTCCAGAGGGAGCTGTCCCGGGTGCCCCAAGGTGAGCACAGCACGCTGAGGGCACGTGGTTTACAGCAGCTGCCATCCTGGGCTCGCTGGTAGGTGACATTGGCATGGTAGGCCCATAGCACCAGCTTTGGGCACCAAAGCAACATGAGACTGGGGAGCCAAGTGTGGCCTGTGTGACAGCAGCTTCCTCTCCTGCTTCCATGTGGCCCTCTCGATAGGTATCCAGGGCATGGCCATTGTCCCTGAGCTCACCCCAGTGTCTGGACACAGGCAGGTCCCTACCAGAAGCCGGAAGGAGCGAAGCCATGATCCATTGGGCTGGATTGCTCAGGCTGGAAATCAGGGGCCTTGTCACCTGCACCACGGGATAGTTTGTTAACAGTGGGCCTGTCCTCTGAACACAGGGTTTGAAATGTGTGCCAGTGCTGTTCAGGTCATTAGTATTACAGCCTGGCTCACAGAGGCAGATAGTGAACGAGGGTCCAGATTGGGTGGCATCCACTTCACCCTTAGGAGGATAGGGAAACTGAGGCTGAGAATCAGTGACACCTCCCAGGGAGGTGAGATGGCTGGAAGAGGTCTCTTGCCTCTGGTCTCTCTTGCGTCACCGTAGAGGCACACATTGCCATGAATCCTCCTCAAACCCTCCCCTCGCTTTGAACACACATCCTATCATTTTTGCCACTTTCCAAAAGCACGTCTCCTTTCCCGAGTGTCTTTCACTGTGCTGTCCTGGCTCCTTCAAGGTCCTGAGTCCATTCAAAACATTGACTTTTCAGTCACTTTGCTGTGCCCCATCCTGTGAATCAGATGGATGAGGACACCTCACAATGCTCTTACCAGCCTGCCTTTCTGTTGGATGGCATTCACAATCACACTTCCTAAAAACACTCACCAAAGAGGACACCCACAGCAGCTACAGGGAGCAGCAAGCACGGTGGGCTACGTGTATTTGAAGACGGGCAATATTTTAAGTGGCTTCACGGCAATTTTTTGTACTTTGTCTTTTACTGTAATAATTTTTCAATTTAAATGTTAACTATATTTTGATCACCTTTTGTACATATCTCAGGCTCTCTAGGCCAGTTGTTCTTGGGTAAAAAGTCACCTTGAAACTCAGGAGTCACCCCAAAACAAAAACTCACATTATGGCTAACAAGGCTGCGGACCAACAGGCCGCTGCTCGGGGCTAGCTCAGCTGCCATGACTGATGATGGGCAGTCAGCTGGCGACAGGAAGGGCTGCAGCTGTGTGCCACCCAGCAGATGAGCAGCAGATGTGTCAGTCAGTTATTCATGGCTGCTGAATAACAACCACGCAGCTGAGAGCAACATAGGCTTGCGATTTTCCCACAGTTTCTGTGGGTCAGGAATTAAAATGCTGCTTGGCGAGGTGCTCTGGCCTGGAGTCTGGAACATAGCTAAATCAAGATGTCGGGAAGACCAGGTTGGTCCTCTTGAGATGCTAGTTGGGGAGCACTGGCTTCCACGTTCACTCCTATGATATCGGCATGGCTTGGATCCCACTGACTGCTAGGTGATGACATCATTTCCTAGCCATGAGCCAAACTCTCCGAGGGGGAGCCAGCAGGAAGCCCAGAAAGGGAGACCTAGATAGAGCCTCGATTTCCCCCAAGTTCCAGACACACTGACCATCACTAGGGTTGGTGTGGGGAGTCAGTTCCCCCATGTACCCCTAGAGCCTCAATGGCCTCAGCCTCCATACCAATGTAGAAATAGAATCCATTGCGCTGAGCTGGGGTTATGGGACCTCCAGCTCTGTGCCAGTGTGATTCCAGGCAGGTGACCTGACCTCTGTCTCACCTACTGTCACCTGTATTGAGGGTGTGGCAGCACCTGGCCCAAGTGGCTGCTAGGACCTGGGGAGCCAGGATGCTTGAAGAGTGAGCTAACCCTAACCCTAACCCCAGCCTAGTCACCTGAGGGTCACTTGGTCCCGAGCCCACTGCATCTTGTGGGCATCTCCCTCATGGGAAACCCAATTCCTAAACCTCCTGTGTGGATGCCGTATGGAAGAACACAGCTCCATTCTGAGAAAGAGGCTGGGAGCTGGGGACCCATGTGCCCATGATGGCTGGGAACAATCCTTCCAGAGTGCTTGACATGGGGCAGGGGAAGCAGAAGCCCTTTCCCCACCCCAGAGGACCCCAGTGGCCTCCCCCATGCTGGTCCCAGGGGAGCAGGGGGCCGAAGCTGTCCCACTTCCTCCTCCTCCCGTGTCCGACCCCTCCTCCCGGGGCTGCCTGTCTTCAGGAATTCGATGCTATCTGGGCAAACAGACAGTCTGTTCCCAGAGGAGACAGGGCGCCTCTGGGAGGCCGGCCTCTCCCCAGGCTGGGCCACAGTAAACACCAGGGCCTGTGCTGTTATCAGTTCGGCCCAGCACAGTGGAGACAGTCTGCCTGCCCGGAGCCACTGCAGGCGATAAGCGGGGCCGTCCTGGGGCTGCAGCCCGGATCCAGCAGTGGGAATCTCGGGGTGGCCCTGGCACAGGGCCTGAACACCTCAAGCAGGGCTGGGGGCTGAGTGGGGGGCTGGATGCCTGCCCTGTGACTTCCCTGTGAGTGCTAGGGAAGAGGACGCCAAAGCTGGAGTGGCCAGAGCCCAGGGCCTGGTGTGGAAGGTCCAGTCTGCAAAGCCTCCTTGGTCTCTTTTTTTTTTTTTTTTTTTTTTTTGTCTTTTTCGTTTTTACCGGTACCGGGGATCGAACTCATGACTGCCTGCTTGCAAGGCAGGCGCTTATGCCGCTGAGCTAAATCCTCAGCCCCGCCTCCTTGGTCTCAAACAGACTCTGTCCCCTCTGTGGCCTCTGCAGACAGGCAGCTCCTTCCCTGTTTCCAAGTCCATGTGCAATGAAATGAATTAATGAAGCCCGGCACAGTGGTGCATTCCTGTAATCCCAGCCCTTCTGAGGCTGAGGCAGGAGGATTGCCATGCGTTCCAGGCCAGCCTGGGCTGCACACAGTTCGAAGCCAACCTGGACTACATAGCGAGACTCTGTCTCGAAACCCCCAAGTGAATAAATAGAATGAATGTATGCATGGGGAGCACTCCCTGCTGGGCCCAGCAAGTGTCAGGAGCAGCAGAGCAGCACCCCATTATCCGTGCAGTGACCCAGGTGTTTGTCAGTTGTGGTCATTATGTCCTGGGTCTCTCAGGTCTCTGGAGGGACGAGGCTGGCTGTATAGCATCTTATCTGTCCCATCTGACAGGAAGAGACTCCATACAGCTGGGCCAGGAGATCCCCGGGATCCAAACTTCCCCACCCAGCCTCAGCCCTCATGTGGAGCTGGAGGAGGCCACAGTTCCATGCCTACTTCTCTCCAGGGCCTCAGGGCAGAGTGAGCTCCTGGGAACTGGCAGGCAGCTCCCCCACAGCACCCCAGGAACTAGCAAAGGATGGAATTCCAAATTGACCGGTGCTGCCAGGGAGCCCCAGGAGGAGCCCTTGACTGGGAGTCCAGCAGCTCTGGGTCCTGTCTCTAAGTCCACAGTGATCTGGGGTCATCGATCCCAGGTTCAGCAAAACACAAGCAGGGGCCCCCAGTGAGCAAACTCTGTGTTCTTCCTCAGCACTGTCGTAGATGACAGACTGAGCTCCCTGGAGAAAGGACAGAGGTTGAGACACTGAGTGACCACCCTTGCCAGACCCTACCACCACATGCTGACACACCCCAGGGGGCCCCAATGACGATGAGTCAGCTCGGCCTTATACCCCGCGCTTATGGGCTGGGTAGGACACACTGCACACACTTAAATCCCGGGGATGGGCTCCTGCTGGAGGAAGAGAGAAGAAGGAGCGGGGCACGGTGGTGTGTACTTGTAAGCCCAGCACTGGGGAGGCTGAGGCATGAGGATCTCTGCCAGTTCCAGACCAACCTGAACTGCACAGTGAAATTCTGTTTCAAAAAGACAACAACCAGAGAGACACAGAGAGAGAGAAGAATAAGCTAGGCATGGTGGTGTTCAACTGTGACTCCAGCACCCTGGGAGACTGAGGCAGGAGGATACAAGTTTGACTCCAGCCCAGGGGAATTTAGCAACTTAGAGACATTATGTCCACAGGGACAGCGGGACAGGTCAGCATGAATGGCTTGTGTATCTAGGATGTGTTTGGGTGTGGTGGCCTAACCGGGATTCTGGAGCAGGGTTACAGCAGGATGAGACTTGTTCTCTTACTGTCCTCTTACCCATGATGCTCAGTTGTAGGCACTGGGATGGGAAGCAGATTCTAGAAGCCCCGGGACAGAGGGTGGGAGTCGGGGCCACCCGGAGCTAAGCAGAGAACACACGTGGGGAAAAGTGCTGCGTCGGCTGGAAGTCACACAACTGCGAGGAGAGGAGAGCCAGGACCCAAGGCCCTGCTGTCAGCCTGGAAAGGGTTAGGGCGGCCCAGGCCGGGGTCGTGTGGGCGGGGCACAAGCCGGAAGGGCAGATTGGGCGGGCCCTCACTGCCAAG